ACAATACTATGTTAACCGAACACGCTATCCATATATGTTCCAAATTCTTCTTGGATACATGTAACAATTAATAACATACATGCATTTTATATAACTTGTATATTTAAACAAGCTATATATATTTATATCAAATTATAATGCAAATTTATATCATTTAAATATTTATTTTTTTTCTGAATTTATACTATATCGTAACATATGGCAGCCGTTTAAATAAAAGAAATCGGGAACCCTAATTTGATGAAATTAATCTATAAATTTACAAATTCATACAACACTCAAATTTGCGTCATGAGGTAATTAGGTTACAAAGAAGATGTAAGTCAGACGTGAACGTCCAATTCAAACTGCTGTTGTGGCTCTTGTTTACTGTCTGTCGTGTTGCAATGACAGTCTTATGACGGAGAGCGATTTATGCATATAATTTAAATATATAAGAAACTTGTACCTTGCCTGAATATCTACCATGTAACAGGCTAATCTCCGGACACAAACAGCTTTGGCTGTGGGACCTGCTGCAAGACTGCAAGTGTGTGGTCAGAGGTGGGCAGTTGCGCGCTACATGTAGCGGCCGCTACATTTTCAGTAGCGGTAGCGGCGCTACATTTAAGCAATTGTAGCGGTAGTGCCCGTAGTGGTAGCGGCACCGTAGCGCCCACTACATATTTAAGTAGCGATACAAGGTTTTGCCGCTACCGCTACATTTATAGATGAAGCCTTAATACCTATTTTACTTAACTTAATAGTATTAAATATTATTTAAAAACCAGCATGAATTTAATGCCTATATAATATAAATTACAGAATAAAACTGTACGAAAGATTTAGGTGTAATGTTGTCAACCTCAGCCTGTTTGTCGTTACTTGTTAAGTCATAGTGGCAAAGCAGAGAGTTTTTTAGACTCTCCCTCAAGTTCATTTTTGAGTCCTATAAGTAGACAAGTAAAGCATAGTGGCAAAGCAGAGAGTTTTTTAGACTCTCCCTCAAGTTCATTTTTGAGTCCTATAAGTAGACCAGCAAAGTATCATGGATACCAGCATTATCATACTTAAGAAATTGGTTAAAATCTTGAGCAAATGAGGAAATTAAAAATGAACTGATTCTAAAAAAGCTCTGGTTTGCCACTATGTGTTAAGTTGTTACCAGTTAGTAGTTACCACTTACAGGTATTTTTTCATGTTTCAGTTTGCTTACATAACATAGTGACAATTCCACTATGCAGAGGGTGGATGCACTATGCAGCGTCGCCAATATATGGATTTTTAAGCCCAAAGCATCGCCGGCCATTTTAAAGATGCGTCGCCGGGTAATTTTTAATGAAAAGCCATTTACGCTGAGTAATGACAAACTATTACAAGCCACGAACTTATTTAGCTACAAGGTTGCATGCACGTGTTACCCCAAATAACTAATTTTACTCTAAAAACACTCCGATTGTACAGCAAGTGTCAACTGAACATGTAATAAAGCAGTCTGACCGCTCTAATGTGACCAAAATCATAATTTAAATCACTTTTCCTGTTAAGTTTGTGTACTTACATACATTAAAATACGATTTATCAAGTGTACGAATATTTATTTCCCCCCACTGTAAATATATAAGAAACTTGTACCTTGCCTGAATATCTACCATGTAACAGGCTAATCTCCGGACACAAACAGCCTTGGCTGTGGGACCTGCTGCAAGTGTGCGGTCAGAGGTGGGCAGTAGCGCGCTACATGTATGATGTAGCTGCCGCTACATTTTCAGTAGCAGTAGCTGCGCAGCCGGCGCTACATTTAAGCAATTGTAGCGGTAGTGGTAGCGGCACCGTAGCGCCACTACATATTTAAGTAGCGACACAAGGTTTTGCCGCTACCGCTACATTTATAGATAGGTAAAGCCTTTATATTTTACTTAACTTAATGGTATTAAATATTATTTAAAAACCAGCATGATTATTTAATACCTATATAATATAAATTAGGTACAGAATAAAACTGTACAAAAGATTTCGGTGTAATGCTGTCAACCTCAGCCTGTCAGTTGTTACTTGTTGTTACCAGTTAGCCTAGCTAGTAGGTTATCACTTACAGGTATTTTTTCATGTTTCAGTTTGCTTACAGTTCTTTTTACACAGTTATTTATATGTTTCACCTTCCCTACATGGATGTCTACTTTAATCTACCAATCTCAAAAATAATCCACATATATATAGCCATAGTGACAAAGCAGAGTTTTTTAGACTCTCTCTCAAGTTCAATTTCGAGTCCTATAAGTAGACCAGTAAAGTATCATGGATACCAGCATTATCATACCTAAGAAATTGGTTTAAATCTTGAGTTATTGAGGAAATTATAAATGAACTGATTCCAAATAAGCTCTGGTTTGCCACTATGATATATACTAACAAAAGAGTGATTTTTTATATGTATATGTGGATAATTTTTGAAATTGGTAGATTAAAGTAGACATCCATGTAGGGAATGTAAAACATAAAAATAACTGTAACTTTTATTTACTGTATCTAACCCTTACTAGTTTGCGTTTGGTTAGGTTAATTGTAATAAAGTTGCATTGATATGTTTTGAAAATGTTTTATTATCATTAAATGTTTATGAGTAAATCCCAATAGCCTGTCTCTTATACACATCTAGATGTGTATAAGAGACAGCTACTTGAGTTCCTCGCTTTACATTCTTAACAAAGGCCCTGAGATACAATAAAAACTCAATAAAAATGAAAATTAATAAAATGAAAAATGAATAAAATTCACTGAATCACGTTGATATGAATTCGATACTAGAGATGATAATAAGGATAATCTATATTTTAACTGTCTCTTATACACATCTAGATGTGTATAAGAGACAGGAATAATCCTACTCAATTCAATGTTAAATATAAGTTTAGTAAATGAGTAATTACGATTCACCTAACACTGATCATTGCGGTATTTTGTAATACTGAGACCCTCCGATGAACAACGTTGACTAAAGCTTGCAAGATTACGTAATTAAATCGTAATCCGTATTCCGGCTGGAAGATTGTCGTAAAAATCGACAGTGACAATGGAATTGATAGCGACGATCACCGCACAATAGATAACGACAAGGACCGTAAAATGAGAGTCAGAAAAATATAATAGAATATAAGTCCACCCATTTTGCCAATTTCTATATACCTACCAGAGTTCGNAACATTACTCAGTACAGTATGCCTTTAATTATCTTTCAATAATATATGATTTTTCTTGATACGGAAATTTGGTGAATGAGAAATCTAGAACTTTATTTTAGAAGAAATTTTCTCCAAAGTCGTATGGCAACACTGAACACCGTCTGTTAACATTTCGTATGTATAATAGCCGCAGTTTATGATTACCGTACGTTCCGCATCTGACAAGGCGGACAAGCGGAAGAGTCAGAAGTAACCCGGACATGTCTTACATTTCATTATTGTCAGTTCGACTCGCCTAGTCAATATACTCGCGTATATTGTCGACTAAAATAGTAGAACTATTTAGTTCTACTATTTTATAATAATATTATAATATTAGTTAATAGTAGAACTATTTTAGCTTTCTAAAGTACGGCGCATGGCGCATTTTTTTACCAGCATAGTATGGCTCACTGCGCAGGTCGTTAAAATGACAAAATAAATTCCCGCGCACCTGGCACATCTTCCTGACCATGGTGTGGTAGCGGTAGCGGCGCTACATTTCAAAGTAGCGCTGCCCAGCTCTGTGTGTGGTCAGTGCCCAGTGGTTGCACAGGTCAGGCAGATTGCATTGGTCCAGACTCTAGAGTGTGTTGGGGGCCACAGCACAACCTAACCTAGCTGTCCTAGCAGGCTCTGAGTCTGCTGCTTTGCTTTCTTTTTCTGACAGAGATCAGGCTGGTAGTTGCATTTGTTGCCACAAGTCTTAACCTCAACTATAACAAAATGACAGTCCTGCAATAATAGGGCCTAAGGCATACTCCAGGTATTCACTAATCACTATGATTAACTTGCTAGCACGCCATAAAAGGTTCAGAGGACAGAGAATCAGAGATTATCTCATTATTTCATGTGGTGTTCAGAACTTTGTTGGTATGATTAAAGTTGCTAGACTTTCTGCAATAGTTGACATTTTTATTTTAATTTAGAAGATATTCATTGTAAAAATTGTTGAGTTGAAGATGAAGAAATGGTGAAGAGCATCAAGAATGGTGTCATAGAGATTGATTTTGACATGCCATCAGTAAATCACGCAACATCAGAAAAACGGCAGCCTCTAATGAGGTATGAGCAATGTACTACTTAGCATACTGGTGGGAGGAGTAACATGGCACTGATGGCAGGTCTTCCAAAGTTCCAAATCTAATCAATTTTGTTATACAATTGTTATAATGTATTACCTATCCTATCCAGAATTCCACACTGTACCATACCATGTGGCATGTGCCAAAAAAGTGTTGACTGTCATTCTGCTGAGTGCCAAGCCAATCTGGATGAGAATATCAGGCAGAATTAAAAAAAAATGACTAGGAAAAATTCATTTTATGGCCAATTTTTGAAAATCAAGTTATAGGTCATTAATATAATTTTCTGTATTTTTCATAAAAAATAAGGTACCTATTAACTTTGAAATCATGATACATTTTTGGCAAGCTTGAGTATATGTGTTTTTAGGCATAAGGCATATTGACCTTTGAAACCATAACCAGATCTTACCACCTTCTTCAAAGCTACAAGATTCACGCTAGATGAATAATGTTTTATCTAATAGTAATCAAATGTGCACAATCAGGCCACAAAATTCCAAATGTATCATTAGTTCATTTACTTCATTACTTTGGAGACACAATATTTCATTCATATGTAAGGTCAGTAAGGAAATGCCAACCCTGGGTTTTTGTCTCATAACTTCCATTCACAGGTGGCTTCTGCACAATTTTCTTGAATGGCTGCCAATGTATGAATTGAACTGGCTTTCTTTATAAATGTATTTATATATGCAATTTTTTCTTCAAACAGGCCTCTTATTGCTCTATGCTCAAAATTATTATAATTATTACCTATTTTTTAATAACTCACAATTACTTTCAAAAGTGCTTTTGTTCTGCTAACTGAGTCTGACTGTCAGATATATACATTTTCAAGCAATGGCACATGAATTGTTTATGGAATTTAGTAAAGAAGGTAAGTTAATATCAAGATCTATTTCTATAATTAATTGCATTCAGCAAATTTTGAAATCATTTTTCATTAGTTTCAAAATAAATTTCTGTAAAGGTATTTTAAAAATTTTTGATATTATTTGAGTGTCTAAAGAGTTTAATTGTTAATTTTTGCAAACCATTACATACTTGGTTGAATTTCAGAGCAATGTTTAGTTGTTATTATATTGAAATTTTTTTCCTCTTGTCAACAGCTGCTTACAAGCCTTTCCTGAGCGAGGAATTTGATGTTCAGCAGCACACAACTCAACTTGTACAAGGAGTCATCATTGCAGAGCATCTCAACAAACTCACTCTTGGTGAGACCTTGTGTTTTTTATTCATTGACATATAGTATGCATCATTCCTGTTATATATTTGTATGTGCAAGGATTGTCAGTCAAACATATGCGACTGACTAAATGTGGATCTGTTGAGAATGTTGGAGTAAAATACAGATAGAAGTTCATGAAACATATGGTTTTGAATTTAGGGTTAAATAAGGAGCAAAAAAATAGATGTGAAGCAGAAGGGCTTTCATTCTTAAAATCTAGAAACACAAATGTAGCTTAGAAGTGTCTGTATTTCAAATTTAAATTCAAATGGTTAGGGAATGGTGGTTCACCCCATTAGGATAGAAATAATTTTAGAATCAAGATACAATCTCACGGTCTCAATCAGCTTCATATGATATACTGAAAGTTGTTACCTTGATAGGATAATGTTAGAGGTTGCTCAAACCCTTGAATGTTTCAATCCATCTCTCGAGTCCCTGGGCTCTAGCTCTATCAACCAATCAAAGGCCAGACACTTACTGTGCAATTGTCAGGCTGGACTTAGAAGGGACAGGGAAATGGTACTGATGTTGTGCCACCATCCTACTATAGTGATTGCAGCTCGTCTTTCTGGACTGTATTCATCTGTTGATTTTCTTTTCAAATGCCGCTCCACCCGCTTTGTAAGCTTTGACCACCATTACGCTGCAGATATAGTTCACTTAGTTCAAGAGGGAACAAAGCTTGTCACTGTCCATTACGAGGGGAAGGAGCTCTTACTAAACTGAACCACATGCAATGCAATGAAGCGCTTGAACAGTTGGACATCAGATCCAGAGGAAGATCCGGGGCTGACGGAGGGCGCGATTGACACAACGATCTTTAAGATGGGATATCCTTGGGAAAGCTCCAAAACATTTGTTACAGAAGGATACAAGTTTCGTTCTGCCGTATGGTAATAGAGGATAACATTTTGACTACATTACCCTCCAGACTCAAACCAACGATAAGGGCATGCGCAGCATGCTCTTATCACCGTATGATCTCCAGTCCTCCGTATCCGTATGATCTCCAGTCCCATTCGAGAGCTTCAGAACGTCGAGAAGATGAGTAACGCATGTTTGTGTGGCAGTGACCACCACTGGCAAGCGGTCGACGTTATCTCTGTCCACCAAGGAGAGAAAAAGCTGTCCATCCCAGTTGACAACATATGGCTGGGCCGAACTATCAAAATTCGCCTTAAATAGCGGCCTATATAAAGGTCGTGGGGGATTACCAGCTGACAGTTTCGTAGCTGATGGAGTTTCGAACTCGTAACCATTTGTGATAGTAGGTGCCTTAGGGTCCCTGATCCACTGAAATGCTGATTTCAACTTTTCCCCACTTTTCCGTGCGGTAGCGCTTCCTGATGCGCTTGATCGAAGACCAACAAATATTGTGTTCGGCAGGTTCGTGACCAAAGCTTTTGGTCGTTTCTGCTAAAACGTTAGGGTGCATGACTTTCGTACTCCTGCTGGTAAAGAGTTTGACACATCCCAATAGCTGCCACTTGTAGTGTATTGCCAGGACCTTCATGATTACTAAGTCACCAGGCTTTGCTAGATTCTTAGCTCGTTTCAATTGCGCCAGTTTCTCGGACCGTTACCATTGGCGTATTTTTCTAGGCCGTCTTCTCGACTCTGGTATCGCGATGTCAGAAATCGTGAAGTTTGACTGCCAATTTCGTGCCTCGTGTTTCTTCTTCGCTGTTTCTCTGGAAGCAGAAACCACATTTCTTGCTCGCTATTTGTGTACGACGAAAGCTGGGAACAGTTATAACGTCCCACTTCCTTTAAGAATCGTTACACCACTGTTGAGAAAAAAAAGGCAAACTTCGGTCGACTGGTGCCCCCACTGAACATATCCCAAAGGGATTGAAAAAATACCAATAGGAATGTTTCTGGAACTGGACCGGTTCCAGAACAAAATGACCGGTTGGGAGAGACATTCCCTCCCAAACTGGAACAAAATGACCGGTTGGGAGGGAATAAAAAAATTCTAGACCACTAGTGTGTAAAGGCATTGGATTGGGGCTTGATATGAAAGACTTTGCTAAGCCTGTAACTGATAAGTGTTGGGACATCTAATTTAAGTTGTATAGTTAAAGGGTATTTCAGCTCTAAATTTTAGGCTAAATTTGTGACTGAGATGCTTGCCAGATTGAATAAAATGGTTCATTTGTATGTGATTTAATACCAGTGAAGCAGAATTTACACTTATTTTACAGCCTATTTAAAAATAAAGGCCTGGTAATTTATGAATCTTTTTTTTGTTCTAGTATATATTTTTGTCCAAATTAATAATCAGTGTCTGATGTGTCATTTTTTTTGAAGTAACTTCATTACCTTGCTGAATCAAGTCGGAGATTGCGAAATATCTTCCGAAGTTAATTTCTTAACATTGCAAGTGTGGCATTCAGGTCTGAACCGCGTGGAGCGCGAGATAGAGCGACATGTTGGCGACCACTTCGAGGAGCTGCTAGCGCAGGCCGCAGGGATAGACACCCTCGAGAACAGCCTTGCTCTCATCCAGGCACGCACACAGGTTCGTATTGGGATGTTTAACTCTGTGTGTGCTCTGAGTTGTCTTTGTGTGTGCTCCTATGTTGTCTCTGAATGCCTTATGAGTTGTCGCTGTATGGCTAAGTTCTGTCTGTGTTCTTCTATGAATATAATGTCACTTGGTGTGAACATTTCTTCACTTCAAAAACATTTTGCGAACATATTATGAGCTAAATAAAATCCGAAAGTTGCCGGCAATTTCAAATGTAATTTCAGACACACGAGATCGACGCTTTATTTTTTGCAATGGTCAGTTTGGGTTGTACCTCTCAACCGCAAACATCTCGCGCTTCCTAAATATTCCCTTGAAACCAAGACGCATTAATGCCTCGTTAAAAATCGTATTCTTAGTTATCTTAGGCATTTGGTCGCCCACAAAAAAAAAATGAATTCAGTATTAATCGAAAGGTACGAAATTTAAGTTGTTTTACATTGGTATGACAAGTGTCTGGGGTACGTTAACACTCTGGAAAATAGATGGATCATGTAGTCCAAATAGCGACACACTTGCTACGTGTATCACTGATACTTCCTTGGTCAAGAAGTATCAGTGATACAAGAAGAAGCTATGTCAAGATGACCTGAACAAGTGCATCAATATTTGGTCAGTCTAAGTTAATTTCTTTTGAGTTACGTTTCACCAGCACCTCTCTTGCTGACGCAGACGCTGCAGGCGGGCGTAGAGCGCGTACGGGCGCGTGTAGTGGAGCCATACGCGCGACTAGAGAAACACACGCGCGTGTTGGCGAGGCTACAGGGTGCATGCGAGTTGCTACGCCGCATCATACGCTCCCTCGCCCTCACCTCCAGACTGAGCACTGAGGTCCAGAACTGCCCTCGGGACCTCGCTAAGGCGGCCACTACCCTCAGCGAGCTCGGTGAGTCACTGAGCTATGGTTACCCCGTATCGAATTATCTGCTAAATACTAAACCTTTGCTTGAACTGCACCGTAAATTCTTATTAAACTTCTATGCTATCGGTAGCCCCAGCGTATCAGTTATATGGCAGGGTGCCCAATCGGTCACAGTTTAGAGTACCAGGATTGGAGCAGTGAGTTATGGGTTTGATCCCAGCTTCCTGTGATAGTTCGGGTCAAAATCGGTGAGGTGGCCGGGCTGTTAAGGCCGGTCCACACGCTCAGTTTTCACAACGATTTGTCTGCGCAGTTTTAAGTCGGAATGAAATCGTTGCAATTTTTAGAGCGTCCACACGGTACCGACTTATCTGAGTAGTTTGCTCAGTTTTGCGCGATCTCGCCTTGGAGACGTCTCGGACAAATTTTACGGCCGGTCTCCCAAATTCGGTGAGCATGGCATATCTCCCAACCCTAACAAAATTCGGGGACCNGCCGGCTCCAAAACTGCGCAGTTTTCCCGCCGGCTCCAAAACTGCGCAGTTTTCCCGCCGGCTCCAAAACTGCGCAGTTTTCCCGTCCACACGCAACGTTTTATCTGCAACGATTAGAACTGCGCAGACAAATCGTTGTGTAAAACTGAGCGTGTGGACCGGGCTTTAAACACAGTGGATATTGGAGCAGTGAGTTGCGTGTTTCGAGACCTGCAACAAGCTGCGATGTTCAGAATCTGTGATGGACCTAACGGTCTAATCTGCAACGGTGACATCGCTATTAATATGTAGTGTAGTGCACTCTTCTTCATTAGGTACTTGAAGATCCCTTACGGATTGCTGCAGATTTCTTGAACGATGTTTTGTTCTCATATTTCAAGCTATCAGTGTCAGGCACATAAATAGAAAGCGACCCAGTAGGAGCTAATATATCCGCTTGCACACCCATTCTCAAAATACTGCAATAAAAGTAACTATCCTAGTATTGCTTGGTTTACTCTTGGATTTCATGTTTTTTAAAGAAGACTGAAAACGCCTCGGGTTAAATGTTGTTAATTTTACGCACAAATTCTAATTTATGAAAGCTCTGAGGTATCCTTACTTAAACATAGGTCTATATAATTTATTCTATTTCCCAAGATGAAAACTTCGAAAGGTTGGCCTCAAAATTCTATTTTAGATGCCTAATCTGACATTATTTTTAGAAAAAGTGTATAATCATATGTTTTTCACAAGCTTCATTATTATTTATCTGGTAATAATGTGCAGAACATTTGATATTATTTGCCTGGATATGCACCGCAGCAAAAAAACTTATGTTACTTCATAGTATACACTTGTTAAATGTTTGATTTATGAATTTGTGTTGCACTAGCTCTTCAATGATTTACATAAATTCAAACAAGATGATTAGGGTAACGATAGCATTATTGCTAATAACATTGAAAACCTATTATCAATGTTATATATTTAATATATTTTATATTATTTCTATGATATATTATCTTGATTATTGGGCCGCCCCTCTCGCCCCTCAGAGGAGCTGTACAGCGACGGTGGGCTGAGTGGCATCGAGGTGCTGAGTGGCAGCGAGGAGCTGATGCGAGGGGCGCGAGTGGAGGTGGAGCAGCAGGCCAAGACCCTCCTCCTTACGGGCGCCGCCACTCACAACCAGACGCAGGTCACTCCCCCAGCAGGAGGCCTGCATGCAGTGGCTGACGCAGGTCACTCCCCCAGCAGGAGGCCTGCAGGCAGTGGCTGACGCAGGTCACTCCCCCAGCAGGAGGCCTGCATGCAGTGGCTGATGCAGGTCACNTGCTTCACCACGACCTAAAGGTAATATAACCCTGGACCCCACCATCATCGCTGCTAATGCTTCACCACGACCTAAAGGTAATATAACCCTGGACCCCACCATCATCGCTGCTAATGCTTCACCACGACCTAAAGGTAATATAACCCTGGACCCCACCATCATCGCTGCTAATGCATCACCACGACCTAAAGGTAATATAACCCTGGACCCCACCATCATCGCTGCTAATGCATCACCACGACCTAAAGGTAATATAACCTTAGCGGTTAACTTCATTATTAGCCTTGCACTTGTCAGGTGGAAAAAACTTCTTCCTCAGTCAGTGCTGTGATAGCGACGTATATCTGAACTATAAATCATTAGGGTCGCGGTATATTTGTTGCCAAACGATTTTTAGTCTATCTGTGACATTTTTGCATGAAATTAAGCATAATAAAATAGATTATTTCATGCTAATAAGATTTTTTCTGTAAAAAAAAACGTTCAATACGATGTGAATAGCGCAGTTGCGTAAAAATATCATTATTCGATGTGGATAGCGCATCTACCACAATGATTATAAGTCTTTAACTCTATAATACTTGTGTGTGTGGCTTCTCTTCTATTTAAATTATTCGGGAAGTTGCATTTATAATCTTCAAGATCACAAGAAATGAGCACTCGTAAAGTGAGCACGCCGGGCTCCTGTGTTTCCAATTGTCAGGCAGTAAAATTTTTATGTATATTTGTGTCATGGGGTTACTCAAATTGTCCATTAATTTAGAACACAAAAACTAATCAAACACATGATAAATTTACAATTTTTGATGACCAGCTCCTTAATCAGTTCAAAAATGTCAATAAAACAATAATATTTATTTTAATAGCACGAATAAACTAAAAGGGACAATATTAAAACCTATATTTCAAATACAAAGTGGGAACGTAAAAACCAACTGAGAATTCAAACGGATAAAAACTAGAATCGTGGTTTACACAAAGTTTGTAGAACCTTCAAGTCTTAATTTCTTCCATGTAAATTTGGTCCTTATATTTTTTTACATTTCATTCTGCGTTTTTGAAACGTTTTGACAAAGAACATTTTTTGGAATGATGAAACGTTTTAGGTTTGAGACGTTCACAATAAACATGTACCGATTTTGCTTGTTTTTTTTTCTGCTGAAATTCTGTATTGTTATATTGATACCAAAACTAATATAATTATTCTCGTTGTTTAATCCTGATTGAACTTTAATGATGATGAAAAATCTCATGTGTCTCGGACAAGAAATGTACTGAAATCAATTTCATTGGGTTCTCCTTTACGAAGGTTCCCTTAGTTTTCATCAGGTTCTCTTTTACGGAGACTAAGATGCCGTATATGTCTGTTTCTATAATATACTTGGATGATTATTAAATTATTTTCATTAGCTAACCAATGCCCTAAATGATGTTTCTATAATATACTTGGATGATAATTAAATAATTTTTATTGGCAAACAAATGAAACAACCAATGCCATAAATGATATTTCTATCATGGTGGCAATGCAGAATTTATTAGCTTCTTCCTCAAGTTAAATTTTCAGATCAGTAAAGTATCATGGATACCAGCATTATCATTCATAAAATATTAGTTAAAATCTTGTGTAAATCAGGAAATCTAAAATGAAATTATTAAAAAAAAATATACCTAGTACAGTAGTAGGTACTAGTAGTACTGCAGTAGTTTGTGATTTCTATATGATACTTTGATGATAATTAAATAATTAAAATTAAACAAACATTCAGGCAATGGGCCAGGGTCATCAGCTCTGCCGGCGCTGGGTCAGACGACGCAGTTCAGGGCCGCCCTCTGGACCAGCCTGGAGGCCCTCATGGATGCTGTCTTCTAATGCTTCACCACGACCTAAAGGTAATATAACCCTGGCGGTTCACTACCTTATACTTATCGAGTGAAGGAAACTTGCTACTCAGTCAGTGCTGTGATAGCGACATTTATCAGTACTCTAAATCAATGGGTCAAATTTGATATCGTGGTATATTTGTTGCTAAACGAGTTTTAATCTTTTTGTGAAGTTTTTGCATGAAGTTGATCATAACAAAATATTTTTTTTCATGCTAATGAGTTTTTTCCGTAAAAAAACGTTCAATAAACCATTTAGACGTGATCTTTTCCTGACGTTTCTGGTCACCATAGAGAAGGCAAGCGATCTTTGAAGGAAGGGAGCCGAGGCTTGTGGCTGCGTAAATTGCTGGCCTAATTTACTGGCCTAATTTAATTTTTTAAATTTAATTATGACTGCGGCATAAATTAAACTGGTCTAATTTACTGGCATAATTTAATTTTTTAATTAGGACTGCGGCATAAATTAAACCTGGTCTAATTTACTGGCCTAATTTTAAAATTAGACCAGGTCCAATTTTAATTAGACCTGGAAATATGATACGATGTGTAAAAATATCATTGTTCGATGTGGATAGCTCATCGACTGCAATGATTATAACTCTTTACCACTAAAATACTTATATGCGTGGCTTCTCTTTTATTTAAATTTTTCGGGAAGTTACATTCATGTTGTTGTTGTTGTTGACCCTCCCCGCCTCGCTTCATGGCGCGAGGCGGGGCCTAGACCCAGTTCTGGGGCCAGCCAAGTCGGTCGCCCCTCTTCTTGTCCCGTGCGGTGGCCGACTACATCGCACCCTTCAGCGCCTCCGCCGTTATTAAGGACAAGTGCGTGCACAACGCTTCTTTGTTTACCCCTAATTGTGGTTATCCTACTTTTGTTTATCATACTTGTGTTTACCCTACTTGTGTTTACCTCACTCGTGTTCCTCCTCCGTTATCAAGGACAAGTGCGTGCACAACGCTTCTTTGTTTACCCTACTTGTGTTTACCCTACTTGTATTTACTCTACTCATGTTTACCTACTTGTGTTTACCCTACTTTTGTTTACCCCTACTTGTGCTTACCCGACTTGTGTTTACCCTACTTGTGTTTACCCTTCTTATTTTTACCCCTACTTGTGTTTACCCTACTTGTGTTTATCTTACTTGTGTTTACCCTACTTGTGTTTACCTTACTTGTATTTACCCTACTCATATTTATCCTATTTGTGTTTACCCACTTGTGTTTATCCTACTTGTGTTTACCCTACTTGTGTTTACCCTACTTGTGTTTACCCTACTTGTGTTTACCCTACTTGTGTTTACCCTAGGTACTTTTGTTTAAACTACTTGTAATTACCCTACTTTTGTTTACCTCTACTTACAACGAACATTTCTTGTTCTTTAGTGTTTGGAAGAGGAAAATAAAGTCAAACAGACTTTTTTTCAAGTTTTCTCAAGATGAGAAATGCTGTTTAGATTTTAACAAATTTTTCGTCGTTCCTGGCACCTTGACAATGAATGTGATTTTGTTTAAGAAAATTACTGTTTGCCTTCTTGATGAAATTATATTCTAATTTATTGCATCAAAAGTTGCATATTTTACCAGCTCTAATTAATCAGTTGGATAATAACCACATCATTTGACGATTTCAGGATGGCTGTTTTCTTTGCTTTTAAATTCCTGATGAACTTGCGATTTAAGCAAGCTAGTAATTTTAATACTTATTTGACGATTTGAATCATTCTATCTATATAGAATATATCATTCTATCATCATTCATTCTATCATACTATCTATACACGAGTCATAATATTTCCAAAGTAGTATATCCAAATATTTCCAAAGTAGTTTGTTGCATAAATTGTAGCTACAGAGATGAATATTGTTCTATTGAATATAGTGATAATGTTTATTATTATAATGAAAATATTGATATTGAATGTAGTGACAACGAAGACATCAATAATGAATATAGTTAAGAATATAATTCGTGGGGAGCCGCAGGCCGGCAGCACCAAAAAACATGGGCTTCGGGTCCCCCTTTCGGGGGACGGGGAGAGATTTGCTGTCGATTTGGGCCCGTATCCGGGCCGCGCTCCAACCGCAAGCAGGCCGACAGCATTTGGCCTACATTCATAATCTTCAAGATCACAAGAAATTAGCACTCGTGAAGTGAGCTCGCCGGGCTCCTGTGCTTCCGATTGTCAGGCGGCAAAATTTTTATGTATATTTGTGTCTTTAGGTTACTCTAAATGTCCATTAATTAAGAACACAAATAGTAATCAAACACATAATAAATTTTAAATTTTTGATGACCAGCTCCATAATCAGTTAAAAAAATGTCAATAATACAAGCATATTTATTTTAGTAGCACGAATAAACTTACAGGGACAATATTAAAACCTATATATCAAATAAGAATTGGGATCGTAAACACCGATTGAGAATTCAAACGGATAGGAAGTACGATCGTGGTTTAGACAAAGTTTGTAGAACCTTCAAGTTTTAATCTCGTCCGTGTCAATTTTGCCCTTATATTTTTCTTTATTTCATTCTGCGTTTTTCAAACGTTTTAATGTAGAACATTTTTTGGAACTATGAAACGTTTCGTGTTCGAGGCGTTCATAATAAACATATAGCGATTTGTCTTGGCCTTTTTTCTGCTTAAATTCTGTATTGTGATATCGATACCAAAACTATTATAATTATTCTCGTTGTTTAATCCTGATTGAACTTTAATGATGATGAAAAATCTCATGTGTCTCGGACAAGAAATGTACTGAAATCAATTTCATTGGGTTCTCCTTTACGAAGGTTCCCTTAGTCTTCATCACGTTCTCTTATATGAAGACTAAGATGCCGTATATGTCGTTTCTATAATATACGTGGATGATAATTAATTTTTATTGGCAAACAACCAATGCCGTAAATGATTTTTCTATAATATACTTGAATGATAATTAAATAATTTATATGGGTAAACAACCAATGCCGCAAATGATTTTTCTATAATATACTTGGATGATAATTAAATGATTTTTATTGGCAAACAATCAATGCCGTAAATGATGTTTCTATCATGGTGGCAATGCAGACTTTATTAGCTTCTTCCTCAAGTTAAATTTTGAGACCAGCAAAGTATCATGGATACCAGCATTATCATTCATAAAATATTAGTTGAAATCTTGAGTAAATCAGGAAATCTAAAATGAAGTTATTTTTAAAAAAATATACCTAGTACAGTAGTAGGTACTAGTAGTACTGTAGTAGTTTACCACTGTGGTTTCTATAATATACTTGGATGATAATTAAATAATTTTTATTGAACAACCAATGTTGTGAATGATATTTCCATAATATACTTGGATGATAATTGAATAATTTGTATTAAATAACCATTCAGGCAGTGGGCCAGGGTCATCAGCTCTGCCGGCGCTGGGTCAGACGACGCAGTTCAGGGCCGCCCTCTGGACCAGCCTGGAGGCCCTCATGGATGCTGTCTGCACCTGCTACAACACGTACAGGTGTTGCGTTGTGTTGCAGGTTCTCTATAGCACAACACGTACAGGTGTTGCGTTGTGTTGCAGGTTCTCTCGAAGAAGCGTGACCCAGTAACACACCTGTTGTTCCTAGCGGCCGTAGAGCAGCACTGCGGCAGGGACTTGTTCTCCACGGTCTGGCGCAGCATCACGGACCACCTCACGCGGGGGTTTGCTGCTGCCGCTCAAGGTAGTCTAAACTTGAGCTAGAACTAGGAAATACATTTAGATTAATCAAGTTCCCAAGTTTATTAGGTCTCTAACTAAGATATTATTGCTCAAGGTAGTTGCAAACTTGAGATAGAACTAGAAAAAACCTTCAAGTTGATCAAGTTAACATGTTAGGTCTCCAACTGAGATATTATTGCTCAAGGTAGGACCAAACTTGAGCTAGAACTGGAAAAAACCTTCAAGTTGATCAAGTTCATTAGGTCTCTGACTGTGATATTATTGCTCAAGATAGTCCCAAACTTGAGATAGAACTAGAAAAACTTTAGTTTGATCAAGTTCCCATGTTTATTAGGTCTCAAACTGCAATATCATTGCTAAAGAAAGGACCACACTTGAGCTAGAACTGGGAAAAACTTTAGGTTGATCAAGTTAACATGTTTATTAGGTCTCTAACTGCAATATCATTTAATACAAAAGTTTCTGCACCGTAAATGGCTACACTCTTGGCGTGCTTTTAGCATTGTATCTTTTAGTACATCTGAGTACGGGAAGTAATAAAGCACTCAGCGCTACAAATATCTTTCATCCGCACTCCGCAACACTGCGTATACGTCACATCACATAGAAATGCAAGCCGCATTACGGCAATTCGGCAAAAGAATACTAATTGTATCAACTAAGCAAATATTCTATGAAAACAACTTAATTTCTTCACGTGATCAAACGAGGAATGATTCTTATCATGTTCTTTTTGCCTGGAAATTATTATCTCATTTGCCTTCTATTTTTTTATCCCGTAGTCAAACATTCAAATTCGATTGTGTGATGCAATTTAATTCTGTTAATTCAACCAGGTAATTCTGTCATCCAACCAGCCCTCTATACCGACAAAGATAGTTTAAATATATTTATTTATCCACCGTCTATATACCTATATATTTATTTTATCCACAGGCTCTATATATTTATATATATATTTTATCCACAGGCTATATATATTTATTTTATTCACAGGCTAAATATATTTATATACAGTATTTATTTTCTGCACAGGCTCTCATTTCATCAGACAAGCTCTGGAAGTCGACTACCCTAAACTGGTCCGTCTGTATGGAGACCTCTGGCGCCGCCTCCAGACTCCTGCTGGGGAGATGCTGGCCATGGAGTCCTCCTCCACCGCCATCCTGCCTCCGCCAGGAGAGGATCTCACCAAAGAAGATCCATGGAGACACAAAGGATGTGATCGCAAACAAGATAACGAGGAGCATGACGATAAGGACGAGTGAGAACTACGGAGCGTTAATTTATCAACATTCAAATCATTTTATTATTTTCTACAAATATGGGCAGTTTGTGTATCGATGTATAAAATAGGTTTACGTACGGTACAACAATGCGTCAATCCAATCAAAATTTAGAAAACAAGCACATCAGGCTGAGACACCATACACATGTCTCAATGCATCATTTTGTGTGAGTGTAGAGTGTAGCGTGTTGAATCACTAAACTGTGTGGGTATAGAGTGTAGCAAAATATGTAACTGCTCTTGGTGTCATCCACGCCTCCACCAGGTGAGTCATCCACGCCTCCACCAGGTGAGTCATCCACGCCTCCACCAGGTGAGTCAATTAAACATTGTACGAGTAGGTATATAATTAACTAATCACTGAATATCAATAACTCAAAATTGTATGAGTATGTATTTAAGCATTGTACTGGTATATCATTCACTAATCATTAAATATATTTAACTTAATATTGTATGAGTATATAATCAACTGAACATTATATTAGTATATCATTACCCACTCATTGAATATCATGAACTAATGAACACGACTCGTACTCATCGAAGTGATGTGAACATCTCAGCGGTGTACGCAGGGCTGTCAGAGAGCGTATTTCTGGCGTAGTAATTCGTGTCAACTTTTCTTGTTCATTTCATTGTATATCACTAATTAATCCTTTTATATTGCTAATTATTGTATTATATAGGTATCACTAACTAATAACTATACATTAACTAATGAACATGACCTGCCTTCAGTGAGGTGAACATCTCAGCGGTGGACGCAGGGCTGTCAGAGAGCGTAGCGCGTAATGTGCTCAAGAGCGTACAGCTGCTCTGTACTAAGAGTGAAGAGCTCATGCCTGCGCACGGTGACGCTGTGCAAGTTATTGGTACGTACAACTGTACATATTACTTTAGTGCGCACAGTTATAGCTTAGGAAGAATTAATAGGTATATTAGTCCATTAATTCATATGAATCTTGTTTATGAAGTCATTTGGTTTAATAGTCAAATTTTGTTTCGATTTAAGTTTATCACCTTATTTGTAGTTGTTTTCATTCACATTCATTGCTTTTGGTACCTATTTTTCTTCATTCATCTCTATATCTTTTCTTCACTATTTCACTTTCAAATTATTTAGCTAAGGAACTGATTTTTAACTCTGAGTTGACATATAAGTTTAAGTTGACCGTGGAAAGTGAATTATACGTATGTCTGAATTTTAAAATAGGTAATTAAAATCCGTTACCTACATTCAGTTATATTTACTTTTACATTTTTAATGATCTAATAACTTGCATTTGATGGATAGCTTGAAAAAAACTGTACTATATTGTTGCAGTTCGTGTTAATCAATAGCCCAGCATCGTGCGATGTCATTAACATACCTACTTAACACAATTTATTACTTCACATGCAGATAATTTCCCAGCTCAGCTCAGCTCATTTTCCTCGATGTTTATCTTTATTTAAATAATTATTAATTAAAAGAATTATCTGGCGCCTTTCCTATCGATTCCCAATTTAATTTTATTTTCAGCCTTTATATCCACTTTAAATTTTATTCAGCCTCCTATTTTCACGTCTTTCCTATTTTCAGTAACATATCTCCTATTTTCAGTAACATCTCTCCTATTTTCAGTAACATCTCTCCTATTTTCAGCAACATCTCTCCTATTTTCAGTAACATCTCTCCTATTTTCAGTAGCATCTCTCCTATTTTCAGTAACATCTCTCCTATTTTCAATAACATCTCTCCTATTTTCATTAACATCTCTCCTATTTTCAGTAACATCTCTCCTATTTTCAGTAACATCTCTCCTATTTTCAGTAACATCTCTCCTATTTTCAGTAACATCTCTCCTATTTTCAGTAACATCTCTCCTATTTTCATTAACATCTCTCCTATTTTCATTAACATCTCTACTATTTTCATTAACATCTCTCCTATTTTCATTAACATCTCTACTATTTTCATTAACATCTCTCCTATTTTCACAAACATCTCCCCTATTTTCATTAGCATCTCTCCTATTTTCATTAGCACCTCCCTTATTTTCATTAGCACCTCCCTTATTTTCAATAACATCTCTCCTATTT